TTGTGTGCAATACAACAATAATGACATCTCATCTCCTGTATCTAGGTATTAAAGTTCTAATGGCTTTTTGCTTATGAGTTTATTCTGTTGTCCCAGGCAACACTTTTTTTTTTAAATTTTGTTTTGAACTTCTTCACTTCCTTCCAGCCTAGTTGAGCTGTTTTCAGAAATTCTGAGTATGAATGCTCTCTAAAATAACTTGAATTCCTAAGGATTAAAGGTACATTTTTATTTTAATTTTTTTTAAAACAGTATCCTTATTGCCTCATAGTGACTTGGCATGATGAGACCCTAATGCTGGAATCCAACATACTGGATTTCAATATGAATCCAACATAGTGGGAGGGAAAATTAATAAAATAAAAAATTAAATATGGTCATGTTTCCAAGAGGATGAGGAAATCTCCTTAAAGCTTGTCGATGAAGCAAAGATCAAACCCTGAAGGGCAGCTGAGCACCCAATGCCAGAGGTGTGCAATGGCTGCAGTTAGTTTGGAACAGATACGGTGGTTCTGTGCAAGCTTCTTCATTAGCCTCCCCAACATGCAAACGGTGCAGTCATTTATTTTTTTTTTTAAGGCCTGGCAAGGTGACTGATCAGAGGAAAAATAGAGTACTGATGTCCAACTGTAGCAAGGCTACGCTGCTCTAACTAGCATGCTTTCATAATCTTCATTAAGGAAGGTCCAAAGTTCTTGGCTCCATTTTAAAGCATTTGCAATTGACTTCTAAGCACGAAAATAGTCAAAATTAGTTCATTCATGGGTAATTTTCTAGAAATTACTTGCTGTGTCTTGATAGCAGGAAGAAATGAATAGCAGCCTGACTTCTGCCAGGGATGAGCCTATCAAATCAAGTGCGAAGAGAAGGAGCAGCTTCTAGAAACCCTGCTCAGGTTCTGTCTGGCTTTCGGTGGATGTTACCCTGGTTTATATAGGACAGGGGTTTTGGAGTGAAAGCAATACTTCATTCCCCAGGCCCTCCTTCACTTCAGCACTGGCTTCTTAAGAAATTGGTTGTGTCCAGTTGCACTGGATTGCTGCAAGCCTGGATTTATGTTTTAGACCTAACGTGCCTGAGTGTCAAGGAGGAAACCTGTCAAACTGGAGGGAGACAGAAATACAAATTTTATTTATTTATTGCAGGTTTACCGTAAAACCTTAAAACCAAAAATTAGCACTAATCTCAGCAAGTAACTTCAATACCAGCAACTATCCCACTTTGATGCATCTCCACCCTAAACATGCTGAATTTGGGGCTTCAGCTCCCTCTTTTTTGGAGGAAGGCAGGTGGTGGTTGTGATGATGGAAATACCTTACTCAGATTATAGCTTTTGATTAATAAAACCTCACATTTCAGGGGTTATGAACAGAGAAATCCTGCCTCCAATGTGGTGCCAGGGGATCCTCCAGGAATAGGCAGCATCTGATTTTAAGGGACAGTGTTATATTTGTTTACCTGGCTTTCTGACTGACCTTTACTGGGTTATATCATTGGTGTGAGTGGTTTCTGCAGTCTCCTCCAGGCTAGGACTGACAGAGAGGTTTAGAAAACAGGGAGGATTGTACCTTCAAATGAGTCCACCATCGATGCAGTAAGCTATATTTATATCAGAGTGACTGGCTCTGGCCAGGTTAGGAGCTTACCCACCATGTGCTTACAAGAAGATGACGTCTCTGCCTACAAGGCTTATAATCTACTTTTTAAAAGCTTCTGACACATAGGGAATCAGGCTGTCAAGTAATAGCATTGTGGTGTTATAGAGATTACCCAGCACGTGCCATCGTGGGGCACGGTGTTACGGAGAGCGCTTCTGCTGATGTCCCTGCTGTTTGCTGATTCAGAGCAGCCAGAGATGTTCATCCATCTGTGATGCCCTTCAAAAGGATGCTCTTCGCTTCTGATGGTGCTGTGATGGAGATGTTACAGCTCCTGTGTTTGGATGGTTGGATCTTAAATAACAGCCTGTCCTTAAAACAGTTTTAAAACACTGTTTCCTCTTCAAAGCTGCATTTTCAACATAGATCTGGCCAGAGTTTTCTCAGTTTGACTTGCATTTGGGGTCAGATTCCTGGGAAAGGAATGGATGTGCCTCATATCTGAGCAGCTGCATGCAGCCCTAGTGGGGTCCATTTAAGTTTTGCCCTTCTCAAGGAGTGAAGTGTGTGTGTCCTGGCTCTGTAGGGGCTAGAGATGAGTCAGGAGTGGGATATTCCACTCTTGGGCCTGGGATTGTCTCTCCATGGGGTTAAGCATCCGTGGCATCCCTCTGAGTGCTGAGGATGGGATGGTCATAGTGCACCAAGTTTTAAAACTCGATGAAAATCTCAGGGTTTAGCTCACTGCGACCCATATTATAGCACCTCCCCTAAGATGCATGAACATCACTGCTATCTACATGGCCATATTTTTCCAGTCTGGCAAACAGAAATCCCATCCCCAAAAGGAAACAGCCCATCTGGCTTTCATCTGTCGCCTCTGCACGCAGTCTCAGCTCTGTCTAAACTTGCTTTTCCCCAGCCCAGCTGATGAAGGCTCTTGCGTATTGACTTGCTACCTCAGGTCTGTTTGGCTCTGTGTTTCCTTCAAACACCTCTGGCAGTGGAGTCTGGGACTCCTGCTCCTTAACCTAAAGTTAAGTCTTCCTCTGCATCTGAGGAGGGCTGGTGTCCAAACAAGGCTTAACTCTGGCCCTGCAAAAACCGAAATACACTGAAAAGGGGCAAGAAGCATTTTTAATCTTGTTATCAAGCAGCAGAGCCAATGTCTTCTCTGGGTTCAGATTCTGCCGTGCCAGAGTTTGGTGTACAGGCAGGACATGAGAAGACCTTAGTCACGCTGCTCCACCTCTACAGAGGTGAAATACTGTTGTAGCCGTGCTTGTTTGCCTTCGTTTGCCCTGATTGATGTAATAGGAGCCCTTCTTTGTGCTGGTGGGTAGCAGCAGTGTCTCCCTACCCTTGTCGAAGGGTTTTACGTTGATTGCTTAGTGGAGATAGTCCAACATGCCCTTTCCAGTCTCCCTTAGCCCAGGAGATGATTTACAACTCAACACGCTATTCTTTTCTATTCCTTGCATGCCCGCAACCCTGGCGAGACTGCTTACAGTTGCTGCTTGATGTGGTGTCGCATCTTGAGCCGGGACGTGCGTTGCATCCCCCCAGCAACCCTTTCTGACTTAGGCTGATGGTGTAGCTCAGCTGTCTCCAGTTTGAAGTCTACCCACTCTATTCTCTTGTGATTGCTGCAGTCTCGGAAAGCAAAGAGTGAGCGTTACCCTGTACAGGGAGGATCACCTTGCAGTGGAGGAAACCTGAGCTACCTGGGAGGAAACCCGAGATGCTGAAAGCATCCCAAGGAGATGGAGCAGGTCTGCCTGGATGGCATCTCTAGATCTTTATGTGGCTGCTGCTCCCTGCTGACAGCTCTGGGCATCGTGCATATATTGTAAAAAGCTTTTTCAGCCCGACCTTGCATGACCCAGTGCTGGGCTGTGCAATAGGGTGTGATGGGCGTGTTGCCTCTGTCTTCTGGAAAAGCCAGGCTTTGATTGGGAGCTTTTTTAGGAAGGTAACGTGCTCTGTTGCCTTTGTTGAACAAACAGAAAAATGAGCTAGTATTGATGTGTGGCTTGAGCCAGAGGAATTCAGCAGAGATACCGGAGCTATGTGAAGGTTGTGCTGCTGCTGACACTTGGTCTGATTATTTTACCCCAAAGCTTTGCTGACCCGAGCATGTAAGGTGACCAGCTAATAATGCAGCAAATGATTCTCAGAAACTTCTTAAGCAGTTTTTTGTATTTATTGTGCATGTTGCTTGCATGGTACGTTTCGGCCTTTGTTCTTAATTACTTTTCTTTCCAAGGCCTGAGTAATTCTTGAAAATCATGGGTTGTGAATGCTCATTGCGTCTAGATGGAAAATTACTGATCCTGGTGGTAGCAGAGATGAGTGGAAAACCCAGTTTTTACAGGTGTTCTAAATCTGAAAGCAAAATTGGGAAAAAAAAAACCAAAACACCTTTATTTTGCTGTGCTCATGTTTCAGTGCAGAAAACCTGCCGGTTTGTCTCTCCATAGTTGTCTGTCTTTTTTCCTGGTCATCTCTTGTTGGTTTATGGACATTTTGGGGCTTGCTATACTGTACTGGTTGTGTAAGAAAACCAAAGTATTTGTCAAAACAAAGCATTTGTCTTCACCCTACATTGTTTTTAAACAAACTTGAATTCTGTTACCATCGGCTCCATTCAGCAG